AAAAGTACGCAATGTTTTCTTAGTTATACAATGAATATCGATGCGGTTCATTACAATGTTGTTAAGCAATGTAGGTAGATTATGAGCAAGAGACTGCAGTGCATAATTTGTACGGAAATGGGGAACCTTCCAGAATTCTCTACGACGAACATCGAAGACTGATTCACGCTCAGTCAGGTTTGCTAGCTGTGACAAAAAAGCAATAAACTCCAAAGTTGAAAAGGCGTAAGAAAATAGCAAACGATAGTCATAAATACAAGAAACTTTCATGATATTGCAACTCAAATATAATGGTTCAGCATGTGTGTCGTACGGAACATTAGCAATGAAACGAATAATTTTTTTCTGAAGAGTTATTAGTTTGTTGACGTTACTTTTGGTCGTTGTGCCCCAAACTAAATGGCAGTAGTTGATTTGTGAGCCGAACAGAGCATGATAAATTTGAACCTTAACTTTTGTAGGCAAAAGAGAGCGACAGTGACCGATGATGCCAGCTACCTTTGCCAGTTTGTGAGTTAGAAGGTCTATATGATGATCCCATTGCATAAACTCTGAAAAAATTATGCCTAGCGTTTTATGATGACTTACAATTTCAATTTCCTTGTTTCCAATCTTAAGAGCGTAACTACCATCAATATGTTTATTTACAGGTCTAAAAACAATCGCTTTTGTTTTGGTAGTATTTATTTCGAGGCCATTTTTTTCTGACCATAAGAGAATTTGCGTGACAGTGTCACTGCGCTCAACTTTACCAAAATGAAAACGACTTTTTCTTTATAAGGGGGGGGGGGGGGGGTTGGTCCTAAAAAAAATGTAACGGATTACAAGGAATCCGTTACCCAAAATATGTAAGGCAATTACTTTAAAATTACTCTAGAAAATATGTAATTATTCCGTTACTAAATTACCGGCAAATGTAACGGATTACAAGTAATTTCGTTACTTGTAACGGATTACGTACAAGTCTGATATCGGGGAACCGCGAGCTGCAAAAGGCGGCAACTGCCAGTGTCCAGCTGGGGCGTGGAGCCGGCACCACGTTGTCAGTGTCGCTCACGCAATTTCTGCTACTTACGCAGGTTAGTGAAATGTTTACTTGTAAAACGTTTACTGTTTTTATCTTGCCGGTTCTACCCCAAGTGCTGTATAACAATGTCAAGACTCAGTCGCTTGTGAAGTACCATGCACGTCATCACTTTTCCTTGTTTCTGCGGCTTGCGTTTTATTTATTTTATTGCTTTTACTGCGTGGCGACGTTCAATTAGACCCAGGTCCTGATAATTAGCCGACTCAGCATATGATTTTGGACGGGCAACTGGGGATTAATGCACAATTAAATAACATCGAAATAAAACAAGTAGCGCAACGGGCTACCCTTCAAGGTTTAAAAACGCGTATTGTATCCTAAGAAAGGAAGGTTGCAAGACTTGCGAAATTGGAGGCGGCCGTGACAGAGTGTAGGATTAGCTGCGACAGCCAACAGCGTGCAATGCAGTCCCTTCTGTAAAAGGTTGGTAATCTTGAAAATCGCGTTAGAAGATGTGCTCTTGTGTTTTACGATATAAAAGATGAGAAAGCAAATGAATCATGGGCGGTGTCGGAACAACTAGTTAAAGGACTATGCGAAACAAAGCTCAATATTAAGCCTACAACCATTGAAAGAGCTCGTAGGATTGGGAAATTTAGTCTAGACGAAACAAGACCTTTCATTGCGAACTTCTGGTCGCTTAAAGAAAAACAGTCAATTCTGGGAAACGCAGATAAGTTTTAAGGTTTGAGTATCAATGTATCAGAACATTTTTGTGAAGAGGTACGTAAAAAAGACATTATCTATGAGAGTCAGTTTGCCAAGAGTTTCAAGGATGACGATACGCGGGTTAACCTCAGGCACGACTTCTTTATCTGAATGATACCAAATACATTTATGATGATGACATCAATCAGTTAGTGCGTATACTGACCCTCTCGCTACAGTCTCGTTCCGTGTTATTAACTGCCGTAGCGTCAAAAATGAATTGACGATTTTTCTACCCCCGTGGATACAGTTAAACCGTCGATTGTTATAGGCATAAAACCATGGCTAATTAATGACACAATAGACCGCAAAATATTTCCTGATCGCTTTACTTGCTACAGAATAGACAGAGATAGTCGTGGTGCCGGTGTGTTTATTTCAGTGGACCAGGGGATTTCTTAGAGCAAGATTGAGGTTGAACTAAGATTGTGCGAAGCTGTATGGGAGATATCGGTTGAGACTTCGAAATGGTGAAACTTTGGCAGTTTCCTTCCTTTACCGGCCGCCAGCAAGTCCAGTTGACGTACTAGCTGAGCTCACAGTTGTGGTTGAAACGATTAAATCCGATAGCATTGCTATAGGTGGTGATTTCAATTTGCCCGACCTTAACTCGCACCAACCAAGCACACACTCTGGAGCAGCTCGTGGGCTCACTGCAGTAATGTGAAATTTTATCAACACTCTTCTCGTTAACTAAAACAGTGCCAGAGCCCACTCGAAGGGACCACATACTAGACCTTTTCCTCACAAACGAACAGGATTTGGTGCAAACTACTTTAGTAATTCCGGGAATCAGCGATCACAATGCTGTCCTTTGTGAATGAAATTGGATTTGGATCGCGGAAAAAATGTATAATGACAGCAGTCGACGCATATTTAATAACTAGAAAGCTGATATTACCGTGATAAACGCTGGACTAGATGCATATTTTGCTCTTTTTGAAACGCTTGCTGACTCATGTTTTATGGCTGAATTATGGAAACTTTTCAAGACGAAAGCTTTGGAATTGCAAAAAAGCACAACGGCAACGCGCGCGTTGCATTATGGGACGTTTCTCAACGAGAACGTGCGCGTTGCATTATGGGACGTTTCCGCTAAAGTTAGTGGGGAAATTTCCACGCTAAATTTAACGGAAACATTTTCCCGCTCAATGTAACGGAAAAATTTTTATGTGTTGGCATTTATTGCGTTGGTGCATGCAGCCGCCTCTGCATTGGACTGGTTTGGACTGGACCGTCGATTGGACTGGCTTTGTGAAACTGCGGCGCGGCTCTCGTGACACTCTTTCGCTTCGTTTGTTCGCTCGTTGCGTCCGCTTTCCCTCTTACATAAGAGGAAAAGAGTCTTCACGCACGCTTCCAATGAACCGCCGCTGCTAACGCGCACTCCTTTTACGATGGCACGGGGTCGAAGGCACGTAGGTTCCTTTCCACTGTATGCACAACGTACGCGAAGATGTAAAGCCGAGACGCAGCGACGACGCCGTTTGCGCATAACCGCCAGCACCCGTGGAAAAGATTGGCTTGCTGTTGTGCTTGTGCGATGGAGAAGAGGGGTTTTGGTATTGCTCAAAAAAGCAAAAAAAAAAAAAAAAAAAAAAAACGCTGCGAGGTTGGAATTTCTATTTCTCGCAGAATTTGAACCCCTGCGCTAAATGCTAGCAAACTTCGTCGAGACTCGGCGTAGCAACAACAGCGATTTCACATCTTTCTTTAGTACAGCTTTTGGTTATTTTGTGTTTTCTAAGATCTCGCCAGGGTTTGTAGGTCTGTGATATTTCAAGCACATTTTTGGGCACCAATGAGTTAACGCTTATTGAAAATTTACTTTACAGCCCTCTAAGTTCTTGAAAATGTCTCCGCCTCCGTATGTCACTGCACCCAATCGGAAAAGGCGAAGCATAAGGAGGCTCTGATGAAAGGGGTGGGCGAGAGTATGTTCGCGTAGTAATAGTTTTTGCTAAATATGTACATGAGCTCCGTGTTAACGTTTCGTTTTGTTCATTTCTTAGGGTGGGAGGTCTCATTTTACACGAAATCGAAGTTTGTCGTTATTTTTTTTTTTCGGAGTCGGACAACAGATGGACGTTTACGGGGACTTATACGGCATAAAAAGTTTCATGGACATGGGATTTCCTAACTTTCAAGGAGCATACCCGTGACCTCAATAGTTCAAAGACCACCAGGTACAAATAAGAGAATTGAGTACGGTACAAGAGGCGTTGTTCCGAAGAAGAAACAAAGAGCAACATGGCGTACAAATTAGTGGGGTCTATGTTCTGACTCTTAAATCAACGAAAAAAAAAGTGTTTCTGTCCCTTTGAAAAAAACGTTTTTTTTTGTTTTTTTTTTCACACTTTAAAGCTTTTTTTTGTTTTGTTTTGTTTTTTCAATAGCAGTTTTAATTTTTCGTTTCTTTCGTTTTTTTTTTATTTTATGAAACCCGTGTGGGCTAATTTTGGAGGTTTATCGGTCTTTACTAAAAACGCCGATCGCTGTAGTTACGAGGCACCACTCTGATGAATAGGGGACGTGGAAAGAACGCGGAATTTGTTCGTGAAACTGACGCACTCTCTTCGGAGTAACAGCCGGTACTGACGACATAAGAACGGGGACAAAACAACGCACTGAGAGATGTCTCGTTTTTTCCGTGCCTGTTTTTATGCCTTCTGGAACATTCTAAATCGCGAAGACAGAAGCATGAACCTAATACACAACGTCCCAGATTTTTTTTAAACTCTCGGTGACTTCATTGGCCTGGTAATCCCGAGAAAGACAGATATTGTAGAGCTCCGCGTAAAATTGCGATGGAATGTACCGAGGCCCTTGTTAGGTCGGCGAGCTCCGATATCGCCAACTCGTGGAAGGATTATTTTATCTCTACCGGATCAGCGTCAGGTCTTTGTCGCCCTACTAGGGCAACGAGCGGTCGGTTATCTCATAGCCGCAATTCTCTCTACAGCCTATAGTTCATTTTTAGATAGCATTAGAAACGGTGGAAATTACGAACCGAGTGAGCCAATAAGGGCTTATGACCACTCACCCCCGGAGTTTCATCGACAATCTTATCGGCTCACTGGCACCAAAGCGTTTACCTATTGAAAAATTATGCTGACTTAGATACTAGTCTCCTAATGAGACGTTGACCTCCTTGACGCAACTTGTGAAAAAATAGAGATATACCAGCGGGAGGTGGAAGACAGATTATCCAGCAACTACAAAAGGGAACGCTGTGGTCTCCGGGCAGTAGTGATCACGTACTCCACGCAAGATGCGCCTGGGTCTCTCCCTTGCCGTTGCGTTGCTGGGGACCTTACACCTGACCTCGTCCGTCTCAAGTGGTATATTGACACCCAGTGCCTTCGCTGTGCAACACGACCTTCCTGCGGAGGTTCCTAGCGCATCAGCCGTCGAACGTAAAAACGTTTCTTCGTCGGGAAGTCAGAAATGTGGAATGTCGAAGGTAATAGTCAACGAAACGACCGTGATCACCATCCAAAAGACCGTAGAAACGAAGACCATCACTGACCAGAAGTGTTGCTGCCCCGAAGATATAAGTCTACAATGTAAAGGTTGCCCCGACGGTGGAGCAAAAGAGGAAGCTCCTGTTACAGTACCTCCGACTGCTACGGAACCTGGCACGTCAACGACGCCTCAGACACCAACAGCTCCCACCAAAGGTCCTACGACCACCACTCCAGATCCTCAGACATGGAAGAGAGCCCAGACACCGACAGTACCTATCACAACAGAACCCCCAACTGTATCAACAACGCAGGCACCAACAGTTCCATCCACGCGTCTAACGACCCCAACTACAGAGCCCCCAACTTCACCAACAACACAGGCACCAATAGTTCAAACTACACGTCCCACGACAACCACTATAACGCGCCCAACTTCACCAACCACCCAGGCGCCAACAGTTCCAACCACGCGTCCTACGACCGCAACTACAGAGCCCTCAACTTCATCAACAACCCAGGCGCCAACAGTTCCAACCACGCGTCCTACGACCATCACTCCAAAGCCTCCAACTTCACCAACAGCCCAGGCTTCAACAGCTCCAACCACACGTCCTATGACCACAGCTACAAAACTCCCAACTTCGCCAACAACCCAGGCATCAGCAGTTCAAACCACACGTCCGACGATCACCACTTCAAAGCCTGAGGTATCGGCAACAACCCAGACAGCAAAAGGCACCGAACTCCGGCCGCAACCCTCCGGTTCGCCCACTAAGACGTGCAGCATCGACAATTGCAAGCCTCCCAAGTGCACATGCATGAGCGAGAAACCTCCGGGAGGACTCAGCGTGGGGGACATGCCTCAGTTCGTGATGCTGACCTTCGACGACGCTGTCACGAAGCAAAACATGCAGTTCTACCGGGAGCTTCTCGGGGGTCTCAAGCGCAAGAACAAGGCCAGTGGTTGCGGCATCGCGGCCACTTTTTTTCTCTCGGCCGAGTATCTTGACTACCCGTCCGTGAACGAGCTCTACAGAGGCGGCAACGAAATTGCGCTCCATTCCATCAGGTAAGTTGGTTCTTCCGTTCGTACTCTTCAGCCAGAAAAAAAAAATACGGAAAAAAACACACAAAAAAAGCATGCGGGACGACAGACGTTATAACCCAAAATATATTTTAAAAAAAATCTACTTGAGTGATTTTTTCTTTATTTATTTCTTATTTATTTCCTTTGGGGGTGGGAGGGGGGGGGGGGGGGGAGGAGGCACGAAAAACGAAACAGTTGTTTTTATAGAATATCAGATCGGCTTCCCTAGAATGCAGCGGTCGCACAGAAAGTGTGCATTTCAAGGGTCAAAATGGCGACGATGGGAGAAGCTATAGCCGTTTCTTTCCCACGATCCAGTTACTTTAGTCGTAGCAAGCTTGATTGGAGCGCGCGCGAACAACACCGTGGGGCCAGCCGATTGAACGCCTACACAGATGATGTCGCGCCCGTGTGTCCATACATCTTTACGCCACGTAAGAGTCAATGCTGTCTAGATTGTCCCTAAGCGGGCAGTAAATATTCTTGACTTTGTCGTCGCAACATCGTCGTTTGTGAAAGTTATCGCTGACAACAAAGTGACGTTTCACAACTTTGGGAAGGAGATATTCCAGGCCAAGATATTTGCTTCGGCATTGAGGCGAAGATTGAATTTTGTGACATTTTGGAGCCGTGCGCGGTGTACGCTGCTTTAGAGCTCATCTTCCGCCACAGTCATCTACGCTGCCGGAGTCGCCGAGTGGCGGTGTGGGTAGTGACATTGGTAATGTTTGACAAATGAGGGGGCGACGGGAGATGGTGAGAAAAAACCTTGGGAAAGGGAAATAAAAGGGCTACGACCAACAAACACACACAAAATTGAGCGTCAGAAAGCGCCGTAGGATATATCTTCGGGAGAGAGACAGGAAGGGTGGGCCGGGGGGGGGGGGGGGGGGTTATGGTAGTGAAAAAAGGAGGTTTCCCCTTCCCTCGAATGTTTTATATATTTCTGTAATGCCTGTGTCCTATTTAGGGTACTATTCATATTAAAAATAGCGCAGGAAAAACGGGACAAAAAGACGAAGAACACAGGACAAGCGCTAACTCTCAACCAGCCGTTAAGGAATCGAACTTAGCGCCAACACTCAAACTTGAGGATCTTACCAATTCTCTTCCACAGGGCGATGAGACTCGTGCACTGCGCGCACTGCTCACATAGTGAAAGCTTACGCGGAAAAGAGCCCAATGAAGAAGAAATGTATTGTAAAAGCATGGTCTGCTGGGCAAGTTGGTAATTGCCATTCATATTAAAAATAGCGTTATTTTTAATATGAACTTTAATATAAATGGTATTATGAACGCTATTTTTAATATGAATGTTAATTACCAACTTGCCCAGCAGACCAAGCTTTTACAATACATTTCTTCTTTATTTGGGCCCCGCGCAGTGCACGAGTCTCATCACCCTCTCGACGTGCAAGGCCAGGCACCTTGCCTACTGCCTTCGAAAAAGACAGTGCCCACCGGACATTGCTTCCTTATTTGGTGCCTTGGGTCCGTCCACAGGGCATTAGAAAAAAAATTGTAATATCCTCAAGTCTGAGTGTTGGTGCCAAGTTCGACTTCTTCACGGCTGGTTGAGAGTTAGCGCTTGTCCTGCGTGCGTCTTCGCCTTTTTGTCCCGTCTTTTTTGCGCTATTTTAATATGAATGCCAATTATCAAATTCCCCAGCAGACCAAGCCTTAACAGTGCTTATGGCCTTGGTCTGGGGCGATAGTTATGCCCCTTACCCCCTCTTTCCACGCCACTGAGGGGGGGGGGGGGGGGGGGGAGAGGGCGTGAATCGCGTTTCTATTCGTCTCTCTTATTAGACGCTGTGCTTACAGGCGTTTCAGCTGGGCGACGGCAAAGAAACACAACACCCTGCAGTTTTCGAAATAATGGTTCTAGAGGTTCTGGTATTAAAACCGTTCGCGTTTCATGACCTCATGAGCGACCATGACAGACTTCCAAGCAATAGGCTCGTGCCAGGGCTCGTGGTGTGCAGGTGCGTTCAGTGACGTCCTATTACCGTCCCTACCCTTGACGTCAGGGTCAGGATTATCAGTTGTGAACGAGAAATTTGATGGTGCGTGTTCGAAAGTCTGATTGTTTACAAAAGACGCTTGCAGTCATCGCGTTGTTAAAACAACACCGTCACTATTGACAACCGAACATTACTCTTATTTCCGTTGATGTAAGCATAATTAATGCCACTTTGGCCAATCTTGGACAGACGACCACACCGACATTTTGGTAGCCTACGTGGACCCCCAATACTCCCTACTCAGAAAAAAAGCACTGCGAAATAATTTTATCACGCTGATGGGGGGACAGCTGCCCGGAGCCGAAATCCGCCCGTAGACAGACAGTGTTACCCGTTCACACGACCGTACAGGTACCTTTAGCTAAGGGGCCTTTATTCTCTGTGGCCAATCAATTAACGATCTTCCGCGCGCGGCCTGTGTTCGCGACCCAAGAGCACGGGCTGATTAGGCGATAGCAAAGGGACCTATGTTAAATGTACCTTTATGTTGACCGTCTGAGTGGGGTATTGCTCGGCTGGTTCTGACTACGGTGTAGTTCTGACCAAGCCACGTCGAGTTCCGAGAGAAAGGAAAAGAACGGCATGGACGTTTTTAGTCAATTCTCCTTCATCGACGGGAATAAGAACGATATCGGGCTGTCAACTTTGACGGTGTTGGTTTTAAGATGGAATTACCCCAAGCCTCTGCCGTGCCTTTTAGAGCCCATCAAACATGTTGGTCGCAGCTGGTAGTCTTTGTTGTGACGTCACACGTATGAACCATGGTCGTCTCCGCGCTCTCTCTCGTGCTTGGATGGAACAGCGCGGATGAAGAGTCACACTCACATGCACACAAGAAAGAGACAGACTCACAGCGCTGACTTACAACTCAGTCCTATATTTCTTCTTTCTCAAATCTTCAACTTCTTCACCTTTGCCATTAATGAGAACAATTTAATGTGCTGCTCTTGTTCGGCGCTTAGAGATTGAGTGGTAGAAATGTTTCGCCCTTCTATGAAAAACGTCACGAAGATAAACGGATCGCCGGGTTTGGGAGAAAAGAAAACTTTGCGGCGTTCTTTCGGCCACTCCTCCTGCTACGTCAAAGAGCAAAGAATCTTTGTGTTCCACAAGTTTAGCGACCCTGTAGTCGCTGCAGCTTAAGAAACACAGGGTGTGGTAATCTTCTGTTCACTTTAGTTGCTTTGCATTTGGTGCTTGGGTGTTCTTGTCAGCCAATGCTTCAATCTTACTGGCTGCGAAGCGATCATAGGCACTTGCCAAGCACGCCTTTCTGGGGTTTTCATGGACTATTTAGAAGTGAACGACAACCACGTCGATTGTCGTTTGCGCGTACAGTGCTTGCACGCTGTTAAGGTTGAGATGCATCACATAAAAATATTGATGGAATTCCGTTGTCGCCTTTCTTCCGTTCTGTTTCTCTTTCGCGGCGCCCCGCTTCCGCGACATTCTGGCGGTCTCCGATTTTGAACCGGAAGTACTTCACAGAGCTTCCCCTTGGGCCGATGAGCTCTCGTCACCTGAATTCTAACCTGAGAAGTGCGGAAACGTCTGAATCGCCGCCGTACGTGTATACGGCGACGATCGTCAAAGGGTTCGGATTGTTTCTAGTATATGTGGCGCAAGCTAGCGCCCGTTAAGGAAAAAGGTACAGCCATTAATATCCATCTATCCATCCAACATAATGAGCGATATTTAAGTGATGGAAATTACGTTCATCCTTTCAAAGTATTTATTTGATTCAACGACTGAACAATTAACTCGAACAAAAGAAAGCACCGGCGCGGTGCAATTTGCATCCTACTTGTGATTTTGACGACAGACGAAAAATGGATGCTTTATGTTTTGATATTTAATTAAAGTCACCAACACCCTAAGGAACGTAAGGCGTCTCGAGCATCTCATTATAGCTCCACTGTCAATCGGATTGCGGCATTGGCCGATAAGAATGCCGATGAACCATTCACGAGTTGAGAAGCGCGGAGATGAGTAATAAGGCCCCGCCCTTCGTTTATTGAGTTTTCCGTGACCATAGAGAAGCAAATATCGATCGTGTACTTCGGAAACATACCGTCGCGAAGAGACAGAATTAGTCTCGCGTCGGTGATTATAAATGGTTGCCTGTTGAGCTTGGTCGACAGAAATAGATGATGCTCGTGCAAATTCGTTGACCGACCGACTAATTCGTTAAGGAAGTAACCGATTAATTAAGGGAATTTTTTTTTCGGTGACCAATGCATTATTTTTATTAACGAGATGGTTGTTTGGTGATGTAAATAACGGGAAGAAGATAAAACATGAGGTATTTCGCCCAGATATCTTAATTAGACTTTTCGTGGTATTTGTATTCTAGTATTTTAGTTTTCGTGGTATTTGTATTATAGATTTTTAGTGCACCACAGTGGAGACTGAAAAGATTTTGTGGGCACAGAAAATAAAAATATTATTATTATTATTATTATTATAATTATTATTATTATTACTATTATTATTATTCTATTATCCTTACCAGCACACTCTACATCCCAAGTTTATTTGATTCGTTTTGCATCCCTAACTTTGGCGCGTCGTAGTGGCAACCTTTGTCTAAAATATGGTTCGTTCCCATGAACATTTGGTGAAATTGTCAGTGCGTATTAATTGTGGGGCCGATTTTAAAAAGTGGGCAGTTCTTTTTTCACGAAAAAAAAGTAGTAAAGAGAGAGAGAGAGAGCAAAAAGAAGTGAAGGATGTAGAAAGTTTGTGTCTCCATGACTCTAAATAGGTCTCCGCTAAGAAACATGCGCCTCCATGATGTGTTCAAGGGCTCCAACCTTTCAATTAATTTTAATCGTGTTTTTAGTTATGTTTTTAAGTAGACTCAATACACGGCGACACTGTCGTTTTATATGTTGGGCGTGTACTTACGGGGCGCCTCGGTGAACGGGCGGTAGTCACCACGCTCCCATTATTTTAGCACGAAATTCGCGACAAGATGTTATCTATAGGGGCGCTTTTGACAGCCACACTTGAGAACACCCAAGCATGCACCTTTACGCGTCTTTCAAGAGCACCATTGCTCCAATTCTCTGGTGCGGTAATACGCTGGGCAACAGGCTCCTCGCTGAGGCCCGAGAGGGCGAGCTGCTTACCCGCCTGTATCAACGAAAGTATGACAGCAACGTGACCGACATCCTATGCAGTGCTTGTGGGGAAGTGGAAGAAACTATACACCACTTGGACCTTAAGTGTCCGGCACTTGCACAGGCAGCAGACCTCAGCGCTCGCATTGACCAAGCCCTCGGGTTTACCAATGAGAACACGTATGTGCAGTGCTCAATGCGGAGACTCGAGACCTTGTGGGCAGCACATGGTTGAAGCTGAATTAGTAAACACGCTCCGCTTTCTGCCTTTTTTTTTCTTTTTTTGGTCGTGTCTATTTAGTAGACGCCCGATTCAAAGGTTCATAGATACTTTGGTACAAGGCATGCAGCCTAAAAAAAGAGAAAAGGCGGGTGAAAAGAACAGGTTATTTTCGTCGATTAAAGCACTATGAATTCCACTGAAGACGCCCTAGTGAACCCTTTCAAATCTTCGTCGAGAGACACTCGTGTCCGCCATATTTTAGGCATCGCTTTGTGCGCAAAGCGTGCGACTGAATCCGAGTTCACGTAGAACGGTGACGCGACACTCGTGCCAAATATATTTATAACCGAGTGCGCACCGAACGTTGACCAGCCGTCATGTCCAATGCATTCATGGAGTGCATGCCCAAAGCACGGCGGCCTCGGAGCAGCTGCTGAAAGAGGCGTGCATTTTTGAATAGTTTTCACTTTGAAAGAACGACGGCAAGAACGGTCTCGGTCGCGCACGCCTCAATATAGAGGTCTGGAAAGTGCGTTTGGTAACTTGAGTGGAAGAAACACGCTTTCAGAAATTCGCACCTCTGCCAAAGGCATCGCTTTGGTAGGCCTTCCGGGATTGGCCAGGAGCTCGCTATGACGTCTTTAACAAGATTTGTTCTTTTGTCGATGGATATGAGGGTATTGTTGGGTCATAAACTTTGACGATGTTTAACAAGAACGCTTTTATTTATTTATTTATTGAAATACCTTAAAGGTCCCATGAAGAAGGATGGTACATAAAGAAGGAGGGGGGGGGGGGGGAGCAAACATTTCGAAAGTAAAAAACAAACTAAAGCAATACAATTGCCAGAGCAAAAAAGAAAAATGAGCAATCAAAATAATTGAAGTAAAAACACAAATTTAGCAATAATCAAATCGAATCACACAAACCCACTGCAGTCCTAAACAAGAAACGATCAAACACAAATTACATATTAACTAAATGACTAGAAATAAGACCTCGAAAACGTTCCGGGTTAAATTCGGTGACAATAGAATTAGGGAGGTCATTTCACCACTTTCTTCGCATCCATGATCGCACTTGTCGTTTGCGACTAATTCTAGGTCAACTGGATCACTACTAAGGGAAAGTTTTTTTTTTTGTTAGGTCATAGGCAAGAAACATGGGAAGCCGCCATGAAATATATTCCGCCGCGTAAATTTTATGGTCTTTGCTAATCTCAAAGTTTGTCAGTCATGTAAATCTGAGACAATTTTATCATGATCCTGGGAATCAGTGGAACTAAATTACCTTGTCCAAGCTGCAATAACTTTATTAAGCGAGAGCGCCGTATCCCGCAAAATAAAACAATCATTTCCTCTCCCTCTCGCCCCAAGCCACAATACAGATACATCTGGAAGCTACTGGAATGAGCTGGACACGGAGAAATGGGAGCGCGAGGTCGTCGACGAGAGGAAGATGGTAGCGAAGTACGCCAACGTTTCCGAAGACGACATCAGGGGTCTCCGGGGTCCCTTCTTCTTCACCGGGGGCGACGCAGGGTTCCGGATGCAACACCGTCACCTTGACTACGACTGCACGCTGATCCACAAGCGGGACGGCCCAGAAGACGCCCCGGTATTCCCATACACGCTCGACTACGGCTTCCAGAAGCCTTGCATGGTGAAGGAGTGTCCCAACGACAGCTATCCCGGCCTCTGGAGTGTTCCCCTAAACTATCTGTTTAGAAAATATAAGGAGGAAGGAGTCGACAAATATGGGCACTGTGCGATGGCGGACGCCTGTACACCGATACTGGAATCTTCGGAGGACACCTTCCAGTACCTAAGGTACGTGATAGAAATAAGTTCATTTTATTAGCCCTTGCCCTCCCCGAGACGCCCAAAACAAGTAATGTGCAAACACGCAAAAAAAAATAATTCGTTCATTTCCGTATCGTCCTCTACATCGACTTCGTAAACTGTCACTCAGTTGTGCGTGTCTACGCACACTAAAAGAGCACCGCTTTAACGGAGTAAATTAGCTATTCCCTGGTGGAACACCGTAAGGTTAGTACAGCGACACACTTAGGCTGCTGCTGAGCACCCTACAAACATGATGCATGCGATGTTACCAGCATCCGAGGTATATTGTTTTATGAGCAACAAGTTTCCAAGCAACAAGAACCACGTGCTGTTCTCACATGCGCAGAAAAGGCAAATCTAGACGCAGTGAGCTTGATGAATTTATCAAAAGTGAAAAGCATCGGTACAGACAGGAACGAGTCGAGAGAGTCGAAGGAACTGTTTTCAAAGGGCGAACATCGTTTAAAAAAGGGTAACACTTCACCATACCCCCCCCCCTCTTTTGCTTTGCACACCTTTTTTTTAAAAAATGAAGGGTGCTAATGCCACCGCAACCCATGTTACGAATAGAAAGGGTGTATCGCTCAAAATAAAGGTGTTAAAAAGGTGTAACCGTTGATGTAAGTTTAGGGGGCAGCCTCTTTACACCCTTAAAGCCGCGGACACAGTGCTTATACAGCAGACAAAAGGCAGTCAGCAGACACGTTCGAAGCATGCACACGCATGAGGTAAACATGCTTGGAGCGCAGAAAATACGTCATCATGCCTGCAGCGACATCGTGTCGTTTTGTAGGATGTCTGAGCAGTGCGACTGTAGCTTAAGAGTGTAAAAGTTTTGTGTGTATAGTTTCTGATTCGCCAGTGTGTGCACCGTCGACGCAGGGACAACTTCGAGAACTTCTACACTACGAATCGGGCGCCGCTTCCCGTCTTCCTCCACGAGGCGTGGCTCAAGGACGAAGAACGAAAGAAAGGCTACCTAAGGTTCGTGGACTGGCTCCTGGAAAAAGAAGACGTGCACCTGGTCACCGTCTCCGAAGTGCTCGACTTCATGAGGGACCCCAGGCCCAGGACCAGCTACGCTCAGCGCCGCTGCACCAAAGACCTGCCCGAGTCCACGTGTCCGAAGACGAGAAACTGCCATTACCCAACGACGACGCGCGGAAAGGAACGGTACATGAACGTCTGCGGAACGACCTGTCCCACCAACTACCCGTGGATCAACAATCCGGACGGCAATTAGCGCCACCAAGAACCTAACCTCCCCCCTCCTTTCTTCCCTACATCCCCCTTCCTCTCATTTCGTGTTAATGGTCACTGGTATGCGCCCACTCATTGTCAATGCACAAGCGAATTTTGTCACAACAACTGTAGGCATTCAAAAAGTGCAGAAACCCATTTTTGGTAAAGAGAAGCGTCTCTGCATTTGTAACTCGACAACCAGCGCTACCACTACGCGTAGCGTCAGAACTCGATGCGAAGCACAAGTTCGTCTGCTTCTTTTGTGGTGACGTCAAAACGCCGATCTCTGATTAGCTCTGGCCGAAGGATAGTGGGCACCTATCGATAGTGGGCACCCACTATCGAGGGATAGTGGGCATACCTGAAGGCAAGCTGCCTTGACGTCTGCCCACTAACCTTCGATCAGAGCCAATCAGAAATCGGCGTTCTGATGTCACCACAACCCCTGTAAAAGAAGCAGACGAACTTCAACTCCGTATTGTCGCCAACGTCTTAAAAAAACGCAAGGAGTGGCTAGGTACTACCTTCGCTCGCGCCTTGTTAAATGTAGGTACCTACGAATAGAACTTACTATCCACGAATCCTGTAAATATATAAAAATGTGTGTTGTTTTCTTGATAATATTTTATCGAAAACTTAGGAGTGCTTTTACTTTTAAAATGCCTACCGACTTGATTTTGCCTCAAAACGGATACTAAATTAAAATAAATACAAATATTTATGGGAGTGGGTATGTTGACGCTGGCTCGTGTCTGTCTCTAAGCCCTTGAATGAATCTAGAATATACGCTAATAATAGCCATCGTCTTCCCCAATGACTGAATTCGCTGCCGCAACAAATCCTCCGGGGCCTGTATACCAAACCGCGCTGCCCTATTTATGCTCAGTGTCCGTGAACGAACTAATAAGCGGGGATTGTTTTTATGTAACATCTCTGACATTTTAAGTATCGGCTTTCTAGTATTCCCCCCTTTCTGTCGGATCGTTACGATCTACATGGGCACACTGTGTATTATGTGTTTACCTTGCACGGGCCAACATTGCGATCATGCTTTATTCGGTGCAATCATCAGATATCTCGTTTTATGTTGCGTGCAGCTCTTTGATTATATGGCTCGTGTACGTGATGTAAGATGTTTTTCGGCTGCCGAGTATAATAAGCCAGCAGATGTTCTTTGGGAAAATAAATAACTTATTTATATGTGTCAAGTTGTTTACAAATTGATTATATCCGCGATAAGTAGGGGAGCTTTGGGTGGTTTCGGTCATTTCGCTGGATGTGGAAGGTATCTCACGCTTCGGGCGGTTACCTCAGCGATGTGACGTGATGCCTCATTGCGAATTGTGAGGTTTATCTTTCCCGTTCGGGCACCAACTAGAGTCAAGTCCGCAGCGTTCTCCCATGACGTTATGATTAGAGGTGATCGAATAAGGGCCGGGCACTTCGGTATCTGATGTGAAGGCAATGAGCCTGAATATACAGTCGTAAAAAGGAAGCATTTATTGATACAAGCAAGTTTTATTATCTGAGAAGTCAATAAAAAAAATGGGCTAGGAAACAAATCTCAATACACAGGAACCGACCGGGAACCCCGGAACAACGCTGAAAATGTACGCATCGCGAGTCGTTTTGCCTACGTATACAGCCACGAGTGTTTTTTTTTTTTTTTTAACACGCGCATTTTTTGTTAGCTGGAGCGATAGCCACAGACGCAAACTACGCTAGGGAAGTGTATACAGGCAAATTGTTAGGGCATGCAATTATTGAGGTGCAGTGTGAGAACAGGGTGTGTATAATGATGCCTCGAGAAAGAAAGGTTCGTTTTCAGCAAACTCCTTTCGTAGTGTAACTAAATATATCACTTGAAAAGACGGATGTTTTATAAGCAACCTTATCCCGTGAAACGACAAGGCGCCGAGCAATCCAACATGGAAAGAGAGCTCATAGTAACAATGTAATGCATACAAAACCAAAGGGTCAAAAAAAGTGTTGCCTACAAAAACAATAAAATTTATTTTACCAATACTGTTTTATTTTATTTAACGACACATAAAAGTCACTTTGTTTGAGAAAATAGAAACGACCGAGGATGTAAGTAGGAAAATGTTTTCTAAGATTTTTTTTTATCTCTCCATCTTCCGTCTTTATTCCAGTTAACCAAATTCCCCCAGCGCTATATTACTAATCACAAACACATAAACGCTTTTGTTATCATTTACCTTCCTACGAATCATTATGAACCAAATGACTTTCTTCCATCTCAACACAAACATCGACACGAGAACCGTAAACCCTTCTCGCGAGCCGTGAAATTCCGTCGAGAAACGGAGGTCTTCATAAAAGTGAAGATACAGAAGCGGTAGTGATTCTATTTTGAAACCTATGCTTTTAAGCCTACCATACTGCTCGCCTACTTTATTTTTCGTATGGGGCATACGACAAAAAAAAAGGTATAAAAAGGTATTAACTTTTAAAGGTATCAAGCCCCCGCCATAAGTAAATTTGATCACCCCCACCTCGACAACGGTCAGGTAATGCCTCTCAACATCACTCGAGAGTCTCTGGACAAACAACATAGGACAAAAAAAGTCGTCGCGCGAACAAACAAAAAAATCTCAGATGAACACGCAAGTAGGACATGTGTTTATTAATTTATTATAGTTTTATTAATAAAATTTGTAAACGGAAGAAGCAAGCCAGAATGTACTGCGTACAGCCTAAACCATTTTCGGAAGCCAACCTGACGTTGCATAACCGAAGACATCGTCATGGGCTCGCTGGTGGCTTTTATGTATCTCCGCTTCTCCTGTAGCATCTCGACCTTCCTTGTAGACACTCGAATCTCACAAACACGCGAAAGGACGCCCAAACAAAAACGATTGAATATCGAGCCGAGGCGGGTGTACTTTTCGAGGCTATGGCGGCGACGGGACAACATCGGCCTCTGCTCATCGGGCGGTAGTTTCGTTTGTTCATTGTAGTGATTATATGCCGGGTGTTTCATTTTAATTCCAACCCATTTGTTAATATAAATTCGCTAAAGATGCACTAATACAGTTTGGGCAGCTGAGTTATACGTCCAGGGTGTGGGAGCCGAGATTGAAGGACGAGGCAGAGGGCACGTGACAGGCGGTCGGCGGAGAAGACACGAGCTGGCGCGAGACAGTGTGTGCTGAGCGAGGCTGGAGCTAAGCTGGACAAGAACGACGGAGCCGGGGCTGCCTGGCCTGGCCCATCGAACCCTGGAGCGGTCCACCAGCGAGGTCTGGAGCAAGACCGGTGGAAACGGCAAGCCCGGGCCATATGACCTGGGCTATGACGATCCCGGGGTGGTTCCGCAGCGAGACTCGGGCATTGATAGCCCGGGATAGCCAGGCTATGCAGCGCTGGCGTGGGAAAGGCGATCCGCAGGCCTGGACACGGACCCCGACTGTGAGCTCTGATCGACGGGCGACAACAAGGGTCGACGGGCCCGGACTACCGGCTCTCGACGACGGGCAACCGAGAGATACAGTAAACCCATTCGCTGTCTTCTCGTTGCAGTGTGTAACTCTCTGGGTGACGGGCGGAGCGCATACCGATCGGGCGACGATTATTAGTAGAGGGACCCCCATAAAGAACCCCCATAAGGGGGACATCATATAGGTGGCTAATCTTTGCGATAAGTCAGATAATTTACTAAACTTTCTAAATTGAATTTTTAATTAGTAAAATATTTACATGAATGAAACTAGAAATATGCTGAGCATAATCGAAAATCACTACATTAGTCAATTTTAGAACGATTTGAAGCTCGTGGGAAACACGGGGGTGAACTAAAATTACCACTGGTGCAGCAGGCGCAAAGCTAGCAGCGGCAAAACGCGGATTATTAGATTATCATCGCGTTTTAAGTAACACTAAAATTGTCTGATTGCGTAATGCGGATTCTTGGGCGAGTTGGTACTGATACTTTGAGAACATGATAGCGCTTCAAGACAGGGACGAGAGTAAGGACGTGACAACACAATGCACTAATTTCAACTGTTTAATCCTCAGAAAAGCAAGGGAATAAATACTCTGCATTATCACGCCATTCAACCAATCTCATGCCACGGCAATGCTCTAAAGAGCTGTGCTCCTTGTCGCCCAAATCGATCGACGCCTCGCTGACACATCGCTCCCCGTAGAATTTTTACATCGGTTCTGCCTCAATGATTTCCCTTACCGTCTTATGTCTTTTTCCTAATTACAGTGCACCACTTAAATTCAGGTTCGCACCCTCATTCATGCCAGTGCATTGATAAATGACCGTCTTGCTGTCCGCTCATTTTTTGGTTGTGTTCGCGCAATCTATCATTTAGACATCGTCCCGTTTGTCCCACGTACTTTTTGCCGCTCGTCAGCGGGATCTGATATACAACTCCCGCGCATTCAACAAACGGGCTGCGATGCTTTTTAACCCAGGAAACCGGTGGTTTGCGGTAAGGGTCCGTCAGTTTGCACAACTTGGCAAGTTTCTCCGGTGCAGAAAAAAAGCATACGAGCATTTACGCGGTTTGCTATCTTTTTGGGATTGTGTGCGGTTTTGTGCATGGTAAGGCACAACCGCCACTCTCAGGTTCTTTTGGGCCACATCCTGGTCTGGACTCGCTACTACTCGTAGCTTCTTTGAAACCTTTTCTGCAACCGACACCAGGAGCGTCCCCGGAAAACCGGCAGCCACCAAGCGTTCCGACTGCTCCTTCAGACCTGAAGGCACTGCATTATGACAGGACTTTCTAATGACGTTCACAAAGCACAATTTTACAATTCCTCTCTTAACGAGTGTCGAATGAAAGGAGTTGAACGCAACAGGGGCTTATTTGCTCTCGGTTGATATTACCAACACACATGTTGTTCCGAAAGGGTGAGCCTGATATTTAAAAACTGTATGACGTTTTCTACAGGTACTCCGTGCGGAAGCTTGAGGGGATCTAGGACGTTACTAAAAACTGTTAAAAGACTGTCCACCGCCGAGGGCAAGTGAGAAACGTTAAGGTAAAAAAAAA